CACCCTGGAGCCAGCCTCGTGTAACCTCCCGGGAGGCCAGTACCAACCAGGAGGGACACGGGTCCAGTAAACATGTGGCCGCACTAAGTCTCCCCAAAATCCTGTCCACATCATCCGGAGTCACAGCATCAAACTCTTCCCAGGTAACATTCTCAAGACTATTCCTCGTCACCCTGCCCTGATCTACCCAGTCAGAGTCCAAATCCCCCCGGATCTGAGCGATTTTGTCATACAGGTATTGTCCGAAATCCTCCGCCCTGCCTTCCAAGGGATCCTCCCGCGCTCCCGGATGGAGCAGGGAGCAGGTTACCCTGAACAGGGCGGCCGGACGATTCCCTGATGACACAATAGAGGCGGAAAAGTAGTTAAACTTTGCCGTCTTTATCGCCACTAGGTAGGTCTTAATATGCGACCTTACCAGTGTTCGGTCAGATTCAGCGAGACTGGCCCTCCAACCGCTCTCTAGGCGTCTTTTCCAGCGTTTCATCTCCCTCAGCTCCTCGGTGAACCAAGGAGCCGCGAGGGATCGACACCGGGTCAGAGGCCGCAAAGGCACGACTCGATCCAAGGCCCCACCAGCCGCCCGATCCCAGGCAGCTACCAGGTCCTCGGCCGAGTCGTGTGCCAGATCTTCAGGAATTGGCCCAAGCTCCGTCTGGAACCTATCAGGATCCATCAGGCGCCTGGGGCGGATCCATCTAATTGGGTCCGCCTCCCTGCAGCGGGGTGTAGCGGTTCGAAGGTCCAGACGAAGGAGTGAGTGATCTGACCATGACAAGGGTTTCATGTCTATATCCCCTATAATAAGACCACTCAACCACTGGCCAGAGACAAAAATCAGGTCCAGCGTGTGTCCCCCCCTGTGAGTGGGGCCATGAACTAACTGGGTCAGGTCCATGGCCATCATGGAAGCCATGAACTCCCGAGCCATCTCTGACGTTTCACCAACGGACGGCAGATTGAAATCACCCATGACCATAAGCCTGGGTGTATCAACTGCCACCGTGGCTATCACGTCGAGTAGCTCGGGCAGGGCCGTTGCCACGTGGCAGGGAGCCAGGTACATAAGCAGCAAGCCCATCTGAACCCCATGACCCCATCTCACAAAGAGGGACTCACATCCGGCAATCTGTGGCACAGTGGTCTCCCTCGGACCCAGACCTTCGTTAATAATAACCGCCACCCCCCGCCCCTCCCCTGGGCCCTCGGCTGATGGAATGCTCTGAAGCCTGGTGGACACATCTCAACCAGAGGGACCCCTCCCTCCGAGCCCAACCAGGTCTCCGTAATACCCGCCAGGTCCGCTCCCCCCTCTTGAATAAGATCGTAAATGAGGGGGGCCTTATTTACCACAGACCTGGCGTTGCACAGCATCAGCCGGAGGCCCAGGTCCTGAGTATCTGAGCCACCTAGTATCCGAGGGGAGCCTTGAGGACCGGGGCATGCAATCGCTCTCAAGTAGCGAGTGCGCACCTCCAGCACAAGATAAGGTCCTCTGCTCCCGCCATATCTGCCCCTCCCATCCACCGTGCTGATGACATCCCCAATCCCTCGTCCTGCGCCCTCCAAACCGTTACCCTGTGCCAGGCTGGGCCCTGACCTAGGTGGATTACCCCCCCCATCCCCTTTGGTCGCCCTCCCAGTTCCCCTTAAAAGATTATTAAAAACCCTAATTAAAAAACCCCTCAATCCCCGCTTTAAAACATGCCACCTCTCGGGGTTCCAAAGCCCGTCCTTAAGGTAGGCCTTCGATAGAGTGGAAGGCCATCGCCGCGAGAGGGGGGCATCTCGCAGCGCAAGCAAATCTGCCGAGGTATAAGCCATACAAGTATGATGAGATGGAAAAGGGGAACCTTGGATGTCAGCGAGATTTAAAGATAGTCATTGAGGTGAGAGATGGCAAAAGAGACTGGCCAGGATGAAGCTGGGGCCCCTTCACTCTCTCACAGTGATGGGGCGACCAGATCAGATGGTTGCAGTGCAGGCGGATGGCCACAGCCGTTCTCTCACTGCGGCTGGATGTAAAAGGCCAACAATAGTCACTCTCTCCCTGCAGATGGAGCAGCAGTCCTTGACCTGGACTCTCAGCTTCTCCCTCCAGCCTGCAATCTCTCCTCCCCCGAGCCAAGGCCTAAAGGTGGAAATCGGGCGGCAGGAATAAACTAGCCAGCAGCAGAGGGAGATAGAGAACAAACATAAAAATCCAGGAGGGTGATAATAAAGTCCCAGAGTCAGTAGTGATGGAAAAATGGGCCGACCTAATAGAGAGTCCAGGTAGCAACGGGGGGAGGCCATTTTCATGGGGGGGGGCGAATCCAAGGGGGAAACCAGATGGTAATTGGCAATCCCCCTCTATCACTCCCCAACTCCCTTCGATGTTCCGGGCCAAATCACCCCCAATAGTCCTGCTCGTTTTCTCCGAGCAAATTCTGCCATGATCTTCCCAGGTCTCGGTCCATGTAGGGGGTTTTCAGGCGCAGCTGACCGCTGGGCCATACACCCTGAGCCTCAAATCTGGGCTAAATAACTGTTTGAAGCAGCCAACAGGCCTCCGAGCCTCCGGGTGCCGGGTCCATCGCCTTCCCGCACCCCCCCTCCCCCGGCAGCTCAGCTTTTTTCCGGCCACCGTCAAATCGAAGGGAGGCTTGGGTCGCCATCCGGCTCAGTTAGACTCCCCAGACCACCTTAACTCCTTCACCTCCTACAGTCGGTCCGTAGGATGAAATGCCCGATCTCCGGGGCTCCGCGGCTGTGGAGTCATCGTGGAGGCCGCCATCGCCGCCGCCCTCCTTACAGCGCTCCGATTACGTCTCCTCGCTGTAGCTCTGCCATCCCAGGGCCAATCCCGATAAGGGATGGCACATCCGAACCATCAGACCATCGGCATGCTGAACGTGGGGCTCAAGATCACTAAAACAGCCTCCGACGTTTCCAAAGTTCTCCTTTTCCCCATCAACCTCAACAGCGAGCCCCTCGGAGGTCCGGCATCTTACGTATGCGCAGGGGATTAGTGTTGTGGCTCCATCCTCCGAGCCTATCTTATTGGAGGAAGAAGGCTCTGAACATGAAGGAGAGGAGACGGCCAGGCCTCCCTCTCCAGGACCCTCCTCTCTGGCAATGCCTCAGGTGTCTCCCGAAGGAGAAGAGATTGGCCAGGAGCCAGGTGTTTCCGAGCCGTCGGATAGTGACGAAGAAACATTGTGGTTGGACCCACGCCAGCGTCGGAGAGATAAGCGTGTGCAGCAGGAAAGAAGGCGTGCCAGAGATTAAGCTGAGTCACTGGACCACACCCCACAGGCTATAAAAGGGAGTGTGGTGGCCATTCGGACTCTGTGACGGACAAAGCTAAATCTCTGGCGAGTCACTTTGCACCTTTGGACACAACGCCTATTTGCTGTGGAGTTAATTACAAACTGGACTATTCAAACTGTGTGTATTTTTGTCTGTGTTATCGGAGTAAAAAGTTCTTCGCAGGCAGCTACGGAGTTGCTGCCAAGTTCCTTATCACTGACGTTGAGTGTTCGAAGAGTTTATTTAACCCTCGGCTGGCTGGTTGGGTGCGTGTGTGGGATGGGGACAGAACACCTGGTTGGATCATATGATGGATGTGAACTATGGGAAAGAACTTTGATTTTTAATTTGGGTGGGGAAAACCTCGGGACCTTCAGAGTTGGGTTTTCACCAGATGTGTCAATATGACATGCCTAATAAATTTGGACTGAGGAGCACCTTGGCCTTGGAGTTTTGATTGCATTGGGTCTGTTACTTGGAACCCTGACACTAGATTTGTTTTCATGTCATGGCTTGAATCAGCAATTAAACACAAAGACTCCTTTAAAAATATAAAATTTCTTGGAAAGTTGGTATTTACTGTAACAAATTGTAACAGAGTTATTAATTAGAATTTATGGGAATAGAAGTATAGAATAAATTATCATGCCTTAATTTATTAGATGTAAATCCAATTGATGAAATTGTTCAGAAGAGGCAAGAAGAGTTAAACAGCTGGAGGTATCATAGAACCTAATTGTAACATTTTGATGCAATTGTATCAAGCCTTTGCAGTGCAGAGGAGGAATGAAGAATAGTAATTTCCCCAGGCTGATTAATAGAGAGCATGAAAGTACTGAGGAATCATATAATATTTACTTATTTATACATAGCACTGTATGGTATCTGATTTTCCAGAGAAATATGATATTAAATATATGCTTGGGTAGCATAATATTTTTTCAGGAAAATCAAATGCCATATAGTCTTACTTAAAAATAAATACAGATTTAACTGAATTAGAATTAAAGGTCTGTAATGAAAGGTATTGATTTTCTTTACAGTTATAGTTCATTTATACTTCTTTCCAGTTTCATAGTGATCGGCCCCTTGGCTAATATATCTGGAATGCCAGGTACAAATTTCTAATTTCTTCTACAGACAGATTTTTTTTCCTGTTCCAAATGTTTTAGTATAGTATGACCAAATTATAATTTGTTTAAATTAGACTTGACAGAAGTGGTTGTTCCAAGTTCTTCCTTAAAATATTTAAAAAAATATTACTGTTGAATGTTGAAATGAAACAAATGAAACAATGAGTGATTTATTATACAATAATTCTGTCTCTTTTTCAGCCACATTTATATCACACTTATCCAGAATGTGCACATAAATAATTCTAGAAGTTAAATTTAATTAGTTCATAAACTTTTCATTTCTTTTTCTATTTGCATGAAACTTGAAATGTAAACTTTACAATAGTCAAAAACCAGCATAGTACAATATAAAACAGGTTTTTTTAATCTTTACTGATGGAGAGGGAGAAACATACAAAACCAGATGAGGTTCAAGGATACAATATCTCATTAAGACCCTGTTATTCTCCCATCCTCTAAAATATGGTTAATATAGAATTTTTTTCCTCCCCTCTAAAGGTTTGATAATTATATTACAGGACTGTGATTAGATTGGCATATATTAACCAAACCACATGTATGTTTTTCTCCCAGACATTTCAACAATCCTCTCTTCAGCATAAGTCTAAAAAGAAAAACAAAGGTAAATATGTGAAATATTTCTTGTAGATCTGGTGGCAAATAAAATAATATTGTAAGTTATATAAAAACTTTTTAAAATAAGTATACAGGAAGTCATGATTTTTATTCAAGAAATCTAATTTTCAGTCTGTTTCTATAAAAACAGCCTTTTCACTGGTTTTATTTTTGATCTATAGATTTTCAGAGCACATGTGATTTAAAAGATATGTAAGCTTTACATAATTATAAAAAACCACATGTTTAAATATTTTTGCTATCAGAGAAATATGTTGTGCCTCAGACAAAACTGTATTAATGCAGGGGTGAAGGGGGGTTTCCAGAATTTAGCCTTAATAATAATGCATAGCAGAAAAAAAATTCATGTTAGACTGGAAGCTTTATGAAGGTCAGAATATAGTTTTGCTGTATTAGATTCAAATAGTCAAACTGTGGCACGATCATAACAAAAATGACTGAATAGCATCCCCACTCAAATATATAGCCCTTATGACTAGCAACTATTAGCATTCTTTGCTTTTATGCACACTAGTTGAAGTTTCCATTTCTCCATTCCTTAATAGCTCAGATGCATCAGCATGTACCCTTTAGGGTTTATATTTTGTAGATGGCATAACTTTGTATATGTGCATGTTAATTCATTTTCCATTTTAAATATATTTATATAAATGTTGAAACAATTTTTTTTTTCCAGGTCTAGCACCTAGTAAGAGTAAGCGACGGATTTCTTGTAAAGATCTAGGTCGTGGAGATTGTGAAGGCTGGCTGTGGAAAAAGAAAGATGCTAAAAGTTACTTTTCACAAAAATGGAAAAAATACTGGTTTGTTCTAAAGGAAACCTCCCTGTACTGGTATATCAATGAGGAGGTAAGAAATAGATGTGGCTATTTCTCTTTTACCAAAACTAACAAATATATAAACATCGAAGATACAATATATACTTATCTAGAATTTTCTTTTATTTTAAATATTTTTACAACTAAGAAGTACTCCAAAAATCAGCACTTATTTCTTCAGCAGTAAAAACTCTTATAGCATAAAAAAGTAAATGGAGCACAGATTGTGTACAGTTCCTCCCATGCATATATTAAAATTAATATTTAATCATAATGAATTAAAGTAAATGAAACCTTTGTCTTTGCTTTAAAGAAAAACAGCATGCATGTATCTTAGGAGGAACTGGAAAATACTGTAGTCATTATTTGAAAGACATGCATTTTCAAGATTTATTTATTTTATTTTTTATTTTTTTTATTTTTATTTGATTTATATGCTGCTCTTCTCCGGAGACTCAGGGCGGCTTACAGTGCATTAAGCAATAGCCTTCATACTTTTGTATATTTATACAAAGTCAGCTCATTGCCCCCACAAACTGGGTCCTCAATTTACCTACCTTAGAAAGGATGAAAGGCTAAGTCAACCTTGAGCCTGGCGAGATTCGATCTTACTTTAATTGCAGACAGCTGGTGTTAAATTATAGTGCTTCTGTCTGTTGAGCTAAACCAGGCTCTGACTGTTCTGATTTAAACAAGTTTTATTAAATTTTTCTTTTACATGCATATTTTATGAATAGAGTAGTGACCAGGTCACATCTTATTCAACTTATAACATAATTATATATTAATTTTTATAATCTATTCCAATCTTCTTTTTTGTTTTTTCCAAATACAATTTACATATTTCAATTTCTGGCATAATATTCTTTTTCCTTACTTTTTATCTTATCTTAATCTCTTCTTAATACATAATGTATAAACGATATCATCAACCACCCTTCAAATCCTAATTTCTTAGTATTACTTCAATTAATTATCTTATTTCTCCATTTATAAATTATATTTCCCAAAATCCCCATAACTGTTTTAGCTATAAACAATGTACTTATCTTATTCAATTTTTACATTGACTTTTACTTCATTGACCTTCCACATCTTATCATAATCTCTTCTAAGTATGTAATAAGCAATATCACTATCCACCCTTAATTCCTAATTCCTTATTGTAGCATCAATTAATTATTTTATTTCATCATTTACAACATAATATTTCAAAGTCCCCATCACACTGTTTTTTACATTTCAATTTTATGATTTCAGTTATTTTCATAATTGAACCAAATTACAACTTCATCTGCTGTTCATTTTACAATACACAATATACATCATCATACTTACTTTTTATATTCACAATTACTAATGTTAACACAGTTCCCTTAGATCTACTAATGTATACCTTATTTCCCTTCCTCCTTTCCACTATTCTTCCTCTTTTAACCATTTTCTCTTGGTCTCTCCAAAATTCCTCTTCTTAATAATTTTCTCCCTTCATCCCAGTCTCTTGTCTTCTTCTTTTTTTTTCTTTTTATATTTATTATATCTTTTTCCTGAATCCTTTCTCTAACTTTTGAATCTATTAATCACATAATTCGCCTCAAGCTTTTACCTAATCTTTTCCCATTTTCTTCTCTTCCCTTTGACTGATTCTTTTTTGGAAAATATTCCCCCATTCTTTTTTTACCACTGTAAATCACAGTGTAATCATCTAATTTTTTATCTTCAATTCCTTTACCTTCAATATTATTTTCTTGCTTCTCATTTATATTCTCTTTTTCCTGTTTAGTGTATTCTGACAAAGTTTCTAACTTTTTATTGCCCTTTATTGATTCACGCATGTTTTTAAGCATCTCAATTAATTCCTCACACATCCAAAATTCCATATTGTCAATTTAAAAATTATTGATATTTTAACTTATGTTTAATTAAGTTTTAAGTCCATGTAGCCTTTTTTTATTTCCAGATGATATCCAATACAAATGTTTGTCCAATTCACTCCAATTTAAAGCTTTATTGTTTTCCACCTCCTTTAGAAGTCGAAACCAAGCAGTTTAAGTAGAAACAAATACTCCTTAAAATTTCTCACAACTCTTGTAGTGATCAAGGTCACTGTTGTTATTTCCCAAGCTGGCCAATGTAGTGCTTTCTTTCCACCAGCAGATGTCTCTCTCCAATCAACAATTCTCAAAATAACAAAGTATCCAACTTGCAAAAGTATTTTAAATCCACATAGAAAATACTTTCTCTCAAATTTCTTTCCCTTTTATTGTTTTTAATTTCTCCAAATCCAATTTTAAATCCAACTATAACGTTTTCTTTTCAGGACTTTAGTACTTTCACTTCCTCTTTGTTCTTCTCCCTCCATTAAAATTCCCAAGTGCCAACTAGCCTCTCATTTCCTCGCCAGGACACTTTAAAGTTTTTTTTAAAAAACAAATCCTTTTTTACCTGTGAGTTGGCCAATCACTCACCTGGTACCAATACTCCATTCAAACACTGCTCCTGCACAAAGTCTTATTCCGGCTGCCCCAGCTTCAAAGCGGTTGTTTTTAATGGCTGCCGCCCCTGCCGCCAGATCGAAGAGCTGCCTCCGACTTTTGAGGAACTTGCTTGTTCCTCTTAGTCGTCAAGGTGCCTCTCCTTCTTCACCATCCCTACAGGATGGTTCCGGCCGAAGACCCTCCGACAGCAGTTTGTCTGGCTGGATTTTCATGAGGCTCATCGGAGCCCTCTATTTTCCAGCCAGTCTCGCCGTAACGCTTCCGGTTTTCTGACTGTTCTGTACACATATATCCCATTGAGTATAAGGCAAACATGAATCCTATACATTGTAACAAACTTTTATAGTAGAACACATCTGGGATTTCTAGAGCAGGTTAGAGGTGGTCTCGTAAAATGACTGCCAGTGGATGGGCTTGCATAAACTGATTACCAGAGTAGTAAAGCCAATTATACATTGAATGAGATTGTTCTGTAAGTACAAGTTGCCTACTTCTACTAGTCATATAGAGAATTTACTGTCCTACATAATAATCTCAATTTGGGAACAAATGTGATTTTTGGTATAAGTATTTTTTTCCCCAAAAAAACTTAACTGATCTTTTAATTCTGCTTCTTAGAAAATTTAATATTGTTAGATTGATTAGAATGAAGCATAAAAGACTGTGACTGGGAGAGAACAATGAAGTAAAATTAGAGTCTAAAATATATACTTGAGTTTAACATGGAAAAGAAAAAGGGGGGGGGGAAAGATATGAAGACAAAAATAAACGATTGGTCAAAAGACAGTAATTAAAGAGAAAATGGACCTATAAAGTAAGGTCATGATAGGTCAATATGTTGTGAATATACAGTTGAGGAAAAGGATATTCAGAATAAACATTCACATAACTTCTTAGAGTTCAGAGAGCTGTGCAATCTTGTCAAAAATATGATAACCAGGCAAGGACAAAGAAATATAGAATTGCTAGATCTAGAAACTGGATCTCAGAAAGAAAAGTCTGATTGTAATTCTAAATATAATAGTGACACAAGAAATTTAATTCTAAGAAGAAGTGATAGTAAAAATAGATGTGAATTTCAAATTTTATATGAGTATTCTGGATTTTACATCATATGTTCCATGCATCCATCCATTTAGTAAGCCATGCATAATTAAGATGTGCAAGTGCAGGCAGTGTGATTAAACCATCATGGATTAATTTGTTTCCTGAACTCATTATTGTTTTGAAATAACCAGGTAATATTTTCACAGTAGACTTTTAATATCTTTAGGTCTAGATCTGCATTATACTTCCAACAATATTTGTCATAATATTCTACCCACAGAATTCTTAGGTTAGTAGAATTTAAGTAACATCTTTTGCACAAAAAATTAATTTAATCAAGATTTTTTGGTAAGCTATTATGACTTATTTCATATATTATGCAACTATTAATCATTCCATCATCTAAATTCTCTCACATCACTAAGTCAAAACAAAACTGTTATTTCATATTGTTTACTCTTACCTGTAACACAAGTTACACATTTTTTTGTTAATAAACTTTAACTGTCACTATGATCCACTTTTTAGCAAGATTTTTAAAGTGATTCTAGCTGAAGTGATTATTAAATTGAATTCTCTCCTCTCAGGGCCAAATAGGTTATAAGTATACTTGCATTTGTTTGTTTATTATTTGCCTGCTTTTGTTTTTTAATGTATTCATTTTCACAGGATGAAAAAGCAGAAGGATTCATCAGTCTACCAGAATTTAAAATTGATAGAGCTAATGAATGTCGCAAGAAGTAGTAAGTATTGTAAATTAACAGTTAGAAACAGTAAGACAAAAATGATATATTTCTCTATTTTAACCTTTATTTATTGGAATTCCTTTATTATTATGGTTGGTTCACAACAAGCTGATGTTTATGTGGATTTTGCATCTTTATCCACTTACAGGGTCTTCATTATTATTTAATGTGTATTATATAATACTAGATAAACCTATAAAGGTTTATCGTTGCTGCTTCTTACAGTGCTTTTAGAAGGTGAAAATAAATGAGTGGCGTAGGAGGCTAATGCCTCCTACTAAGGCAGCATTTAACATCCAGCTGTCTGCAATTACTGCAAGTTCAATTCTCACCAGGCTCAAGGTCGACTCAGCCTTCCATCCTTTCTAAGGTGGGTAAAATGAGGACCCGGTTTGTGGGGGCAATAAGCTGACTTTGTATAAAATATACAAAAGTATGAAGGCTATTGCTTAACGCATTGTAAGCCGCCCTGAGTCTCCGGAGAAGGGCGGCATATAAAAATAGATAAATAAATAATAAAAATAATAAAAATAATAACTAAAAATGTAGAAATATGGATCTCTAGCTAATTTTTACATTACCAAGATATTTTACAAATGATTTGTTTATATTAACAGATATTTATTTCTTTATAATACCTTAGAACTCGGTATTGATGATTTAACTCAGGACTAACTTTTCAAATATTTTCAGGCTATAGAACCTGCTAAAAAATAATTCTGAGTACCTCTGATAGAGAGGCAAACCTCAAGGGTTAGAAAATTAGCTGCATTTGAGTGAAACCCCCCCTCCCTTAATCTGTCATGGAACGCGCTCAAGTTCTCATAAAACCTAATTTCCATGAGATGCAGTTTGAAAAATCCTTATGTAAATTTGAAGATATTATTGTTGTATTTTATTGAAAGAAAACAGATCTATGGAATTTGCCATTACTGTGAATGATTTTATGTTTAATAGATTGTCAAAAACTTTATTCTCCTCTTCAACTGTTACAACATCAGGCCTATTGAATTCATTGTGTTCTTAAGTAGACCCATATCATTATATTTTAAGAGTATTATGTGATTACACATGCATATTTCAGTTTAACTTTTTTTTTAACAGAAATAGACATAAAAATATTATTGACGTCAATTTATGAAAGCATATTTTTTTTACAAAAAGAGAACATTAACATCAAATGCAGAAAGAATGCAGAAAATGCAGAAAATACAAAATGTATTTAGTATTTTGTTATGATTTTTTCATATTTTTGTGTAGTGCATTCAAGGCCTGTCATCCCAAAATCAAAAGCTTTTACTTTGCTGCTGAACATCAAGACGACTTGAACAGGTAATTCATTCTAAAAGATTAACATAATATTTTTATTTTATAAATTTTATTTTATATTTTGTGTTGTGTATAATTCAAGAAAATATATAGTTTTACATATTAAGACCAGGTATGAAAATATAGGAAGATAATTATATTTCATTCAAAAAATACTACTTGTGTGTGTGTGCTTTTATCTATATACATGTACACACAGTGTAACATGTATAACAGATACATACATACCCATCTGTTAAAGATAACTTTTGAGTATTAAACTTTCTGGAAGGACAAAAATCTTCTGGATTTAATGGGTGATTTTGGGTCCAACAATCCTGATATATTAACAAGTAGCAAAATTCAGTAGGCATCCACAGCTAGCTCTGATGATAGAAAATAGTGCATAGTGATGTCACAATTTAAACTCCCATATTATCTCATTGCCTCCCAACATCTGATACATATACAGATAGTCCTTGACTTATGACCACAATTGAGCCCCAAGGTTTTGTTGTTAAGAGAGACATTTGTTAAGTGAGTGTTGCCCCATTTTACAACCTTTCTTGCCACAATTGTTAAGTGAATCACAGCAGGTGATAAGTTAATAACTTGCTTGTTAAGTGAATCTGGCTTCCCCTTTGATTTTGCTTGTCAAAAAGTTGCAATGACTTTGGGAGACAGCAATAGTCATAAGTATGAACCAGTTGCCTAGCATTTTAATTTTGATCACATGATCATGGGAATGCTACAAATTTTGTAAATGAGAAAAATGGTCATAAGTCACTTTTTTCAGTGCTGTTGTAACTTTGAACAGTCATTAGTAACTGCTGCAAGGCAGAGGCCAAAGGGTGGGGGCCAGTGGGTGGGCGGGGCTACATTTGGTGTATAAGATGCACCTAAATTTTCACCCCCTTTTAGGGGGGGAAAGGTGCATCTTATACTCCGAAAAACACGGTCGATTCATAAGGGTGAGATCTAAAATTCAGGTCATCTTTTTTTGTTTATGTTCTGTCCCCCCACCTCACATATGCAGACACACAAGCAAAAGACTTCTACCAGTAATTTATTTTTACAAGCTGACCTGAATCCTTTGGCAGATAAAAGTTCTGGCAGCTACTTTCCGAATGCCTGCCAAGTTTCTTATCACCTCTAGAAACAGGAGTCAGCGTATCTGTAGTCCGTTGCTGGGGCAACCAAGAGTTCACAAGGCACAAAAGAGTAGTCAGAAGTCATTCACAAAGTCCAAGCCTTAATTCCAAAAGATATCCCATCTGAAGCTCACGATATGCAGTTTTTGTCCATCACAGAGCCTGCAGAGCAACCCCACCCACTTTTATCCCCTGTGGGGCATGGCTCAGTAACTCAGCAATCTCTGGCCCTTCCACACCTCTTCCTTTGCTGCGCACGCCTCTCCCTCCAACGCTGCCTGGGATCAATCCAAGATTGATCTTCATCACTCCCTATTAGTGGGTGCTCTGACATGCCTTTCTCCTGGCCTTCAGCTGAAACCTGAGGCGTTGCCAGAAAGGAGGGTCCTGGAGAGGGAGGCCTTGTCAGTTCCTCCCCATCACTTTCAGAGTCATCTTCCTCCGTGAGGACAGGCTCGGGAGCCAGAGTCACAACAGTTTAGTTTGCTTTCTTCCATTTTGTTTTGCCTATGAATAGACCTTTGGAAATATATAAGTATGTTAGCTCTTCAAGATGGATTAAATCAGACCCCACAAGTTTCACTGGTATTCTACTTTACTGCTGGAGGTTATAGTAACAGAAACTTGAGAGCCAGACTGCCTGTTCCCTCCACTCTCTCGCTTTAGCTTACTGAGTTTCTTTCTCACATTTTCTCTTTTCCTGGGCTTAAAAAATGCCTGTTTTTGTAACTTGTTACCACATGTTTTCTCCAAGGCATCTTTGAGGTTATCTACAATACAGTGGTGGGTTGCTACTGGTTCACCCCGGATCAGGTGAACCGGTAACGGCCATGGCGGGAGGCTCCGGCCCCCCACCCAGACACTTCTGTGCATGTGCACGCGAGCGCCCATGAGCGAACTGGTAGCGATGGGATTTGAAACCCACTTTCATGTGTCACAAAGGGCTGGAAGCTATATTTGTCATAAAACATTTACGAGGAAGCACATTGTGGTCGACAGGTAAACCCCATTACCGTTTTAAAGAGACAAAGACCAAAATAATCCTGGAACAGAGTTTTTATTTACTTTGCAAAGGGCCTTTCTCTCTGCTGTAGAGAAAGACGGAAATAAAACAATTTACACGAGTTTTTATAGTCTTCAGGAACATCAGAATACACATCAATAAAGTACCTTGGGAATCAGTTTCAGATCTTACATAACATCTTATATAACATATGCAGTACATAATTCCACCCTGGAAATTCCCCAATTCCCAACAGAAATACCCCTCAAAAACATCAATTGCGTACTTCCTTTAATTAATGAGGGCAAATCAACCCAAGAACATATTTCCTACAAGACAAACATCCTCTAAAAAACACAGGAATTACACACTTCCTTTCTCATGTTCTTAAATGTCAGCTAAATTATATAATCAGGTTATACAAGGTAAAACAAAGCCTTAACATGATTTTAAAATGGCGTAACTCAGGTTATGCTTTTACAGAAATAATTCTTATTTTTCTCACAATCCCCCCTTCTCCTCTTCATTATCTTTTATTCCTGTAAACTATGAATATCCTGTAACAGTATAGAAACTCTTCTCCATACAATAGGTAATTTGGTCAATGCCATGTTACCACATAAAAACATTAACTTGGAGGGAACTTGTATCCTTAGACATAGAAAATGTAACCCTTCCTCCAAAATCCGAAACTTCTTGTATGAAGGTGTATAATTGCCAAATAGCTCAGTGCATTGCATATATAAAAATTCCATTCTATTTGTAAGGCCAATGTATTGAGGAACTATCTCATATGTACGTTTGCACTTGGCACACACCATCTTCAAAAGATGACTTAATACATATCTCAGCTTCCTCAGTGGTGTCTATTAGGGTTAGTGGTGTTTCTATAAGAGAATAACGGTGCTCGAATTCAGTATGGAAACATAGCTGCTACCATGTTATAGGGTAACTAGGCAACACAGCCAAAATCCCCATTCCTATCCACACCTGTAGAATAACAAACACTACCACAAAAAAACCCATTATTCCTAGTGAACTAGCTCCCCCAACATATTGTCCAAAGAGATAAAAAATTATTATCTTACCTCCAATTCATCAATCAATCAAGGAGAACTTACATCCACTGGATACCAAAACATAGATTTACACCAATCAATAATATCTTTCCTTAATACAATCAAAAACACAACAAGAATTATTACCACTCCTAGCCAAATACAAATCTCTTCATAAAACTCTTCTTCCATCCGTTGGTCCCCAATCGTCTAAAGTTTGTCATCAAAAAGTCAGTTTAAGAGGGTTTGCAGGTTCCGTAGCAACTGTCCTTCCACAAGGCAAAGCCACCAGTCCATTGACTCTGGAATAGCATACCCAACCTTGTTCCTTAGTCCTTACAGCCGACCCTGTAGTTAGCAGAACTTGGAACGGTCCTTCCCACACCAGCTGCAACTTCTTCTCAGTAATGGCTTTTATCGGACCCAGTCTCCACTTTTGTATTCATGTGCTTGGAAATCAAGAGGTGAATTCTGTCCTTTTTACCTTAAATGAGAAAAACACTGGGACAGTCCCTGTATATATTTTCAGAAAAAACATCCTTCAATTCTATCCTAGGCATTCCAACTTTCCCCACATATGGCAATCCAAACATCATTTCATACATAGATATCCCCAGATCTTTCCTAGGACTAGTTCCTATTCTTAATAGAGCTAAAGGCAAACACCTCATCCAAGGTAGTTGAAGCTCTAACATTAATTTTTATAACATAGATTTACTTATCTGATTAGCACATTCACAACACCCTATAGAACTTAGCATTTGTGCACCACCTTTTAGTTCCCAGTTCACATGCAAACCAACACTCCTTTGGCTATACCATCTTTATCTTCTACCAGTAATTCTTCCCTCAAGGGAACATCCTTTACCTAGACAACACTAAGCTAAAATATTCCCCAGATCAACTATTCCCCAGATTATCCAGTATCTAAAAATCCCCTTCTCAGCATTCAAAATCATTCAAAATACACAGACACAAAAACATAAAAGAGGGTAATAAAAAAACTTTAAAAAGCAAAAGAAAATCACCTAATAGAGGTACTCCGGGTCTCTACTCCCAAAAATAATTGTTTCAAACTTTCAATGTCACTTCTCTAAAGCAGGACAGGAAATACATCTACATAGCTGCCAATGCAGTCAGAAACAATGCAGGATCAAATCACCCATTCGCCCCTCCTTTCTCTCAGACAAACTCAGCAAAGGAAAAAAAATGTGTAAAAGGGAAAACAAACCGCACCTTCCCTCCCCCCTTTTCCTACTTCTCTTATTCAGAACAAAAAGACGGGGGAAATATAGAGAAGAAAAATACTACTCCTGTCTCTAACATCGCAAATACCTCTACCTAATCCTACTTCTCCATAGGATCTCTCTCATCTCTCACTTGCTCATTCAAACACTTGCTATAACAACAACTACAACAACAAACTCTTGCCACTCACTATTTCAATATACAAAGGGAGATTTCTCAGGGGTTCAATGCACAGGCATTCACAAATATCAGGATCACCTTACCACTCCCATTTAAGGGCTTACCACATACACTCATATTTATTCTGCAATCAGACCTTTTAGTGTACTCCAACACACACATGCCTTTTCCCTGCCAATTAGTCAGCATAAATACTTCAGGGAGCTTTATTATCATTCTCAGTATTATTATTTTTTCAAGACAATGAGCTCTATTGCCTAAACAACTCTCATTACACACACATACCATTTAACAACATTTGCAAACCTGGAATAAAACATGGAAAGGTTCCATCCCTTCAGATACCCATTTCATTTTCATCCTTGACATCTTGTAGCCCATTCCTCAAGCAGTGGAAAACTTCAGGATGCGGTTTTTAATCAAAAACTTGATTTCGGGCCCTAACCACACCTGTCCTCCACAGCTCCAGGCCTAAGCCAAGAAGGTCACTTAATTAGCCGGCACACACATATCACCATCACATCACATTAATCAAAGACAAAATATTCGCATTCAACCTCAGGTAGGAAGAACAATAAACCTTCCTTACCACATTCCTATAGAGTTTTCTGCCTCATCCAAGAACAAGAACGATCTGTATACCAAGCTCACATCCCAGAAGAGACAATGCATCTCTCCCAAGCAGATTAAGACCTACTTCTAGAACAAATATCACATCCAAACGTATAATACACTTTCCACAACTCAATTTCACATTCTTCAACAATAGCACATCAAAAGGTATACCCCTGACACCCCTTTATCTTAATAGTTACACCTGTAGGATGCACTCCTCTAGGCAATTTACAAACATAGATTCTAGTCACACCCGTATCTATTAGAAACACATGATCTTCCTCTTCTGGACCCACTAATCATCCTCTTCTCAGGACAAATTCTAGTAAAATACCTCTCCTTTACACACACAAAGCACTTTTTGCTTTCAATCCACCAACACTAGACTTTTTTCCACTGGAGTAATCCTCTCCCAATTCCAGGACACTGTCGCCACATTGCAACCAAAGTTTCACAAAACCTTTTCCTCTTCTACCTAACTCCCTTCCCTCTCCTGTCTGTTTCAACACAGACACCATCATTCATCATTTTTTTCCTTCTTTTTCTCTTCTAGTCTTGGCCTCATCCCTATTCACATAGACCTTTTGAGCTTCTTTCAACAGAGCAGCAATATCAGTAGTAGCCCAATTTTCAAGCTTCTGTATGTCTGGCCATGATTTCGTCACAAATTTCATTTCCATTAAGGACTCATAAGCCGGCGTTTCAGGAGAAAGACCTGTGTGCTTATTCAAATTGTCCTTAATATTTTCCAGAAACACAGACGGTGTTTCTTCCCACAACTGTTCCACCTCCAAAACTTTTGTTAAGAGTTTCTTCCTTGAGGTACAGCTGTCTTAACTCCCTCCATTTGTTCCCGATCAGCTAAATTATTATTGTTCCAACCAGGATCAACTAATGGAGACTTAACATCTGCAGCAACGGGCTGAACAGCCCCCACTTGGGTTTTATCCCAAAAAAGCCATAGCTGCCTTTCGAATTTGTGACCTCTCCTCAGGGGAGAACAAATAACCCAATATATGCTGTAACTCTGCAAAAGTATACAGATTGGGTCTCAAGAACAAATCCAATGACTCAGACAACTTGATCAAATCCGCCTAGAAAGACGGCATGTTTCTTTTATAATCTTCCAGATCAGAAGATGTCAAAGACTCATTCACAAAAGCCACAATACCATTCGGCATTCCTCTTAAAGGAAACATTCCTTTAGTTTGTGAACATGTAACATGAGGAGAAGTGGATGGATTCTGTTTCACAATTACTAACAATTCACCCAACTCCTTCTCCAGCTGCCTATATTACTGCCCTGCTGAAGTCTCTTCCTTTCTGCTCCCAGCAGCAACATCAATTTCACCCACAACTTGGATTATACGAAGGAGGGGGAGGTGGGCATGTAGCATAAGCTAAAGGATTCCAACCTTCCTCTTCTTCTTCCTTCCCATACAAAACTCTAGAACTTCTCGGGGAAGAGGGGTTAAACTACTGAACATGGAACTGAGGTTCAACATATAACAATTGAGCTTTCAACTTCTTTGTTCACCAAAACGTTCTTCAAAACATTGATCCAATATGGGTCTGACTCCCCAAACTTACTCCACCTATAATTAGGCTGTATCAACACAAACGTCAGCCAAACCTCTTTACAATAATTAATCATAGTCACTTTATCTAATACCTTTGTATAAGCTTTCAACCAATCCTCTGACCACTGTACTAACAATTTCCCTAATGGAGATATGGGGGATGGAGGATATTTCAGTCTCAGCAGCACTTTTCCCTAGTAAAGGCCCCATACTTTCCCCAACCTGTATTACACTAATTATACACACAAATCATACAGGCCAAACACACAAACATACACAAATCCAAACCACCAAAAAAAAAAACATATACTCACTCCTGGTGCACCGAAGTTTTCAGGAACGTTCCTCTCTGTCCAGGCATTCAGGTCTCCGCCTCAAGGTTCATGGAAAAGCAATTCCGGCTGGAAAGGAAATAACCCCATCTCACTGAAATCAGTGTTTGTGCGCACGTATCAGGGAATTCCATTCCAGACAGAATGTTTTCAGTCCCTTCAGGCGCCAATTGTGGTCGACAGGTAAACCCCATTACCGTTTTAAAGAGACAAAGACCAAAATAATCCTGGAACAGAGTTTTTATTTACTTTGCAAAGGGCCTTTCTCTCTGCTGTAGAGAAAGACGGAAATAAAACAATTTACACGAGTTTTTATAGACTTCAGGAACATCAGAATACACGTCAATAAAGTACCTTGGGAATCAGTTTCAGATCTTACATAACATCTTATATAACATATGCAGTACATAATTCCACCCTGGAAATTCCCCAATTCCCAACAGAAATACCCCTCAAAAACATCAATTGCGTACTTCCTTTAATTAATGAGGGCAAATCAACCCAAGAACATATGTCCTACAAGACAAACATCCTCTAAAAAACACAGGAATTACACACTTCCTTTCTCATGTTCTTAAATGTCAGCTAAATTATATAATCAGGTTATACAAGGTAAAACAAAGCCTTAACATGATTTTAAAATGGCGTAACTCAGGTTATGCTTTTACAGGAATAATTCTTATTTTTCTCACACACACTGATCTATTCGCTTCTCACAAGATGTTTTAGGGCCCCCCCCTTCCTTATTACCTTAGCCTATTTTCTATTTTTTTCTGAACAGCTGAGCAAATTCTTTGGGCTTACCTAAAATCCTGATATAATCTGGAAAAAATTATGATAGAGTCTGCATTTTTTGTTTTGCAGCAGGCAAGCTTGTTATTTTATTTTTATAATTTGTTTAAAATAGTGTTTAAAAATAACCATGGTATAGAAACTAACAGATGTCAGTATAAGGGTCTATGGACACATTATTGCATACTTTGGTAGGAAAAAAAATCCTCAAAATTGTGTTGCATTGTCATTTTTTTACCTATAGAAGTTGTTAAGTCTTCTGTAGGTTTCCATTCATGATTGTAGGTATTCAGCTTAACCAATAGGGTCCGCTTTCTTCTTTCATGGCAAAATGGAGTAAGACTTACCTTTCATTTCTGATGAATATTATTATATTATAATATTTCTATATAAAATATCTACAACGAAGGGAAAAATATTACCGTTAGAACAGAGGTGTCAAACTGGATTTCTCTGAGGGCCGGATCAGCATTGTAGTTCTCCTCCATGGGGGGAGATGGAACAGATGCCTCCTGCAGCATCCTGCTGGCCAAAATGGGGCTCAGAGGCGTGGCTCCCCTGCACCCCGTTTTCTGCCTGGATGGCCTCCTGCAGCACTTTGCTAGCCTATGCCCTGTTTTGGCCGGCAGAGTGCTGCAAGAGGTTATCCAGGCAGATAATGGGGCGTGGAGAGGCCACACACAGCCCCCCGCACCCCATTTTGGCTATTTCCAGGTTGGCCCCGCAGGCCAGATTTAAGCACCCCGCAGTCCTTGAATTTGACACCCCTGTGTTAGAAGGACATAAAATGCTGCAGAAATGTTGGTGGTATTATTACTTTAATTTTCTATGACATGTGTCACAAATAGAATATAAGGTGCTGGCTTAGAAACTGGAAACTGAGTTCTAGGTATGAAACAAATTGGGTGACTTTGAACCAGTCACTCTCTTTCTTAACCTAGCCCACTTCACAGGATGGATGGATGTTCACTATCTTGAGTTCTCTCCTCTCTCTCTCCCTCCCTCCCTTCCTCTCTCTCTCTCTGTCCCTGTCTCTGTCTCTCAAGGCAGAATAGAAATCTAATAATAATAGTAAATTGATATTCCTGACAAATCTATATAAAAAGAGTCTACATTTTACTACATATGACTGTCTTGTTGACAGAAGTATTGGGTGCTCAGAACCTTTAATTGTGCTTTCTGGATAATGATAATACCAAAAATGTGCAGGTTAGAATAATAGACTTGTTATCTCTCTCAGTACCATCAGTATTGCTTCACTTCATGCTTCATAGAGAGGTTATTACATTTAACATAGAAGGGATTCCTTACCTTTCCCTGTTTAATGCCTTCTGTTGTATCTGTGTTGTTTTAGTACTTGATTTATGAACTTTAGCATTAAAAGGAACATACAAAACCATTTTATATTTAAACTTTTGTTGATATAATTTAGCATCTGTAAAAAATTAATTTAAAGAAGCTTCCAATATCTTAAACCATTTTTTAAAGTTTAATTTACTGAAGACCTAATTATAAAATTAGCAAGGAACTTTGCTGTCTTGATCTTATTCAGATGTTTTATAGTTTTAATAAATGTCCTATAAATGTGTCAGTCATGTCAGTAATTCAATAAACATGTTATTTCAGATGGTTGAACAGAATTAATATGCTTGCTGCTGGATATGCAGAAAGGGAAAGGATCAAACCAGAACAAGGTAAAAAGTTAATGGCTTCAGTTTACCCCCTAATGAAAATGAACTATTGTTTTAGAAAATGCATTATAATATTCCTTCACATGCAGACGGATTAGCATTATATAGCAATGTGTTACAATTCAAATTCATTTTCAGTGCACATGTCAACGTTCCGATGGACAAACCCAACCAAGCAAGCATGAGCGAGATGATCCAATCTCTGAATGCAAAACTTTATTGAGTACATAATTTAAGCACTGGTTAGGGCAAAACCAGATCCCACGCAAACCCACATAATTAAAGTATAGCTTCTCTCTCCCCCTATTAGAGCAGGTCACATTGTCCAATTGAGTCTCATTATATTGTTATGAGAAAATGTCTTTGGCTCTGGCAAACACCTGCCAAAGTGTCTTTGGTTCTCACAGCTGTCTTCTTGATGTCTGGAACCTACATTCCATCTCCCCCTTCCCTCCTCCCTAGTTCATTGATCAACTGAGAAATAATAATGGTTCCAACAACAAAAGCGCACTTTGAAACTTGACAGGCGGACCCCCTTAAAATGTAGGCAGTATCTGGAAAACAATAATTATATATTATTATCATTTACTCTGAAGCCCTCCATGGAGGGGCCCTAGCTTCTGAGGATAATTTGCATGGAATCTGCCTATTAAGCGCTCTGACTTAATATTGTGGGCCTTGATCCACCTTGTCTCTGAAATTGGATAGCCTTTCCATTGCACCAAGTATTGCAGCTTTCCCTTATAATGCCTGGAATCTAAGGTTCGTTTAAGCTCAGAGTGTCTTTCACCTCCCACTATAATTGGACCTGGGACATCTTTTCCAGTTGGCCTTAAATTAAATCCCTGGGCTGGGATTGTGCAATGGAATACTGGATACACCTTTCCCAATATCTTGGGCAATTTTAATTCTACCGTGACCATGTTGATCACCTCCACTAAGGGGAAGGGCCCTACATACTTGGGACCCAGTTTCCTGCTAGGTAGCCTCAGCTTTAAGTACTTCATGGACAGGTACATCTTGTCTCCTCTGTGGAATGCCCCTTGGGGAATACGTTTCTTATCAGCTTGCTTTTTCTGATTCTCTGTTGCTTTAGCTAGGGCCTTTTTTACATTGCCCCATGCGTTCTGGAGAGAATCTACCCACTCCATTAGGGTTACTGATGAGGGAGGTTCTCTTGGGTACTCTGGCATAGGTACAAATTCCACCCCTGTAGCTATTTTAAAAGGGGTGGGTCCAGTACTACTTTTTTTAAAAAATATTTTTATTATATGTTTTTCTTCATTTTGCATCACAGTTAGAACTTTGCAACAGCGATATACTTTGCAACAGCGATATACCAGCATCAGATATATACTGATGCTGGTTCTATCAGCAATTTTTTACAATATACATACTATTATACCTCCTAGTTGCAACCATTTAAATCTTGTTCATACAATATCCATATTTCTACCATAAGTCTCTATATATTTATCATTCTAAATATTTTACTTTACACTTTTATACCATCTTGCCATAATATTGCTTATAGTAAATATTTTTCTATCGTTTATATTTGTATTTATTTCTGGTTCGTTAATAATCTTTCATCATTAATTTTCTAATCTTTGCATCTATTATCTAACCAATTGTACCATACATCCCAAATTAAATAATATTCTCTTTCTCCTTTGTCTTTAATTTCCATCATCAACCTGTCCATCTCGGCACCATCTAATATTTTCTTTATTACCATTTCCTCTGTGGGTATATTTCCATTTTTCCAATTTTGTGCATACATAATTCTAGCCACTGTAGATGTAGCATTAAATATTAAGTTCTTTTATTATATTTCCCTGTTAATATGTCTAATAAAAATAGCTCTGGCTTTAAGTCTATTTGTTGTTTTACCATTTCCTCTAGCCACTTTTTAATCTTTGTCCAATACTTTTTCGCCGATGGACAAGTCCACCACATACGCATAATTATGTACGCATACACATAATATGTTCCCTGTGTCTGTTTACATTTCCAACATTCTGGTGACCTATTTGGAAACATTTTTGCCAGTCTTGCTGGCGGTAGATGCCATCTATAGAACATTTTATATATGTTTTCTCTATATGCTGCTGACATTGTCAATCTGTAATTATGTTCCCACAATTTTTGTCAATTATCTAGTTCTATAGTGTACCCAAAATTTTTTGCCCACATTATCATAGTTTCCTTTACTGTTTCTTCTTCCATTTTAAACCTCAATAAGTAGTTGTAAAAATTTTATATCAGTTTTTCATCTGCCCCCTGCAATAGCTTGTCTAATTCTTGTGGTTCACTATAAAATCCATTTCTTGTACCTCGTCTGTATTTGCATATAAGGCCACCAGTCCAAATTGACTCCCTGATTTTTCAATTCCTGTTTCATTTTTAATTTCCCTTGTTCATTTAATATATCTTTATATCTTGAAATTTTATCCAGATCTAACACATTTGGATATATTAATGCTTCCATTGTTGATAGCCAGACCGGTATTTTACTATAGTGGTCCTGTTTGATTTTTTTCCCATATTAATAACGGAGCATTTCTAATTTGATGTCTTTGAAAGTAACTGTATGTTTTCCTTTTTCCATCCCATATAAATGTGTGTCATCCCAGTTGTAAATCATGTCCTTCTATCACCAAAATCCTTTTGTTCTTTAAATTTATCCACTCCTTTATCCATGTAAGGGCTGAGACTTGATAGTTCAGCTCCCAGTCTGGTAGCCTGAATCCTCCCTTATTTTTACTGTCCTGTAGCATTTTTAGTTTAATTTGTGGTTTTTTTCCCTAGCCAAAATTTTTTGTTATTAGTCTGTTTAAATCTTCAAAGAATTTCTTCCCTAATTTTATCAGAATTACTTGGAATAGGAGTAAAGTTTTCGATAGAATATTCATTTTAATTGTGGCTATTCTTTCAATTATTGAGAGTTGTATATCTTTTTCCATTTGTCCAGGTATATCTTTATTTGCTGCATTAATTTAGTATAGTTATCTTCTTTGTTTGATGTAATCTTGCTGTTAACCAAATTCCCAAATATTTGACTTTTTTGGTCACCTGCATGCCTGTCTTTTCCATCAGTTCATTCTTCTGTTTATTTGTAAGGTTCTTTATTATTATCTTGGTCTTATCATTTATTTTAAGCCCTGCCACTCTGCCAAATTCTTCTATTTTTTTAAACTAATTTAGTTCCTGTTTCTAATGGTTCCTCCAAAATAAATACCAAGTCATCAGCAAATGCTTGACCTTTATATTGTTCTTTTTTTATCTTCAGACCTTTTATTTCCTGGTCTTGTCCGGTTTGCCTGAGTAGGACTTCTAGAATTAGTATGAATAGCATAGGCGATAGGGGACAGCCTTGTCTTACGCCCTTATTTATGTTGAATTTTTCTGTTGTTCCTCCATTTATTATCACCTTCACCATTTGGTTGGAGTATATTGTTTGGACCATCTTTACAAACTTCTCTCCAAAGTTCATATTTTTTTTAATTGTAGTATTATAAACTGCCAACTCATGTTGTCAAATGCTTTTTGTGCATCTAAGAAAGTCAATGCTAGTTGCTTTTCGGGGTGGGCTTCATAGTATTCCAGGACATTCATAATAATTCTCATGTTATTTTTCAGTTGTCTTTTAGGTAAAAAACCATTCTGGTCGGGGTGTATAAATTCATTTAAAAATCTTTTTAGTCTTTCTGAAATTATGGAGGCAAATATTTTGTAGTCAACATTTAGTAGTGATAGTGGTCTATAATTTTTTATCTGTTGGTGATCTGTGTCTTCTTTTGGTATTAGTATAATGTATGCTTTTGACCAGGATTTAGGTAATTTGGCCCCTAATAATGCATCATTATAGACCTCCAACAGTAAAGGTTCTAGCGGTATTGGTTATTTTGATTAGACCAGCTTTTTTCAAATATTTTTTAGTAGTGTCTTCTGGTATGTTTTCTTGGCTAAACAAGTTCCTAAAAAATTCCTGGATTAGTTTCTTTTTGTCTTCATTCTGATGATGAAGGGTTCACTTCTTGTCCTGCAGTTGCTGTATTATTTTCTTCTCTTTTTTAGCTTATATGCTAACCATCTACCTGGCTTATTTGCATATTTGAATACATTTTGTTTTGCCATTTTAACTTCGTGTGCCATTTTGTCTTGTACTATTAAATTCACTCTGTGTTTTTTGGAGAAACCGGAAGCGTCATGGTGATACTGGCTGGGAAATAGTGAAGCTCATTGGAAACCCAGCCAAACAAACCACTGTTGGGGGGGTCTTCAGACCGGAACTGTCTTGGAGGGACGGGGGAGAAAGAGAGGCGCCTCGGAAGACCAAGAGGAACAGGCAAGGTCTCAAAAGGTCAGAGGCAGCTCTTTGATCCGGCAGCGGGGGCGGCAGCCATTGAAACAGCCGCTACAAGCTGGGGCAACCGGACTAAGATTTGAGCAGGAGCTCAAAAATCTTTAAAGCTTAAAAGAGGTCCCAACCCGAAATAAGCGGCTAATTGGCACTTGGAAATTTAAAGTGAAGGAAAAAAACAAAGAGGAACTCTAAAATTAAAGCCCTAAAAGGAAAACTTACCACCTGGATTTAGAATTGGACTTGTAAGAAATTAAAAATAATATAAGAAAAAGAAAACTGAGGGAAAGCATTCTTTAACAACAAAAGGAATTAATTGAAGAAGAGAAAGTACTATCTTTGTGGATTTACAATTGATACTTTGTTGCCTGGGGAGTTGTGAATTGGAGAGAGACATCTGCTGGTAGGAAAGCAGCATTGCAATAAGTATACATCATGGGACATTTTATGGAGTATTTGTTTAAACAGCTGGAGCATGATTTCAAAAAGAAGTGGAAAGAACAAAGTCTCAAACTGGAATGGTTTAAATGGTTCAAATTGGACACTACTAGGAAAGAAAAAAGAGACATTATATGGACTTGAATTTGAATTATACACAAGCTAAAACAATAACAAATTTAAAAATCCTTTCTCTTTA